GATGAAAAATTTTGCTCCATTCTTCAATCAAAAGATTTTTAGGTCGTTCTTGCTTGAAATGTTTATCTGCCTGATTCGCCTAATATTATTAAGGTCACTAACAATTTTGGACTTGTGTTTAGGATCTGTCCTGATTGTCCTGTTTAAAGATTCAATTCCTAATAGTGCTAATTTTTCAAAGCTTGGAATAACATTACTTTTCAAAATACTTACATAATCCAGTTTGTTCATCGTGGAGTTATTGAAAACCAAAATCCCAACACTAGATGCTGCCATACAACCGCAGACCATAACCAACCCTACGCCGTGCTTTGCGGTGTTGGTAACACACTTCTCAGCAAAGGCTTTATTTTTATCCAACTTCTGTGAAAACATTTTATATAAATATTTCAAATTTGCTTTCGTCCGTATATATTAAATGTTTTCACAGAAGTTTGTAGCCTTTATATACTTTTTCCAAGAGCATCTGTTGATTCGTATTTGATATATAAGGCTTTTTGCGTGATACTCGTTCACGCAGACCACTTCCCGATGGTACTAGCACTTCTGGGCTTATCCGATGTCGCCGCTATATATTATATTTTGATATTTGATCAGCGCTTGAAACTGGATTTTCTTTTACTTCACGTGCTATTGATCGCGGTTGAGTGTTAGTAAGGCGCTTTGGTCGGCCTAGCCGCGGAAAATTTTAAACAGTCTGATGTTTATCATATTTATTAATAATTTCTTTTATTTTGCAATAGTGTCTTCCAACTATTTCTCCGAATCCGCGCAAATCTAATATGTTTTTTCGCCTGTAAGTACCTCAGAAAAAACAATATTATTATTTGAAAATACATATTTTTTTTACTACACCCATCCCTTTGACTAGTAACCATTTTCACAGAAAAGTTAATGCTTCCCTGAAGTTGCTGCCTTTTACCTTTTTGACGCAAAAAACGAAAGTGTTTTTAGTTTAAGAGAATTTTTATAATATAAACATTGTATTCTACAATATAAAAAAAAGAATATTGTTGTTGTATTAAAGGTGGCGTTGTAACGTTAGAATTGTTAGTATTGGTGTTTAGTTATTTTTGACGCAAATGTCTTGTTAGCAAATACTCTTCAACATTTCACAGTTTCATGATTTCGTATAAATGAGTGGGAAGCATAGGGACATGCGTTGCCTATATGTACATATGTATGTGTGTTAAATACAGATGTATAATTACGGAAAATTTGCAATTACAGTAGTAAATACGAATGCTAGCATAAGGTGAAACGTGACAAGCATACATAATTATGGATTATAAAGTACATTAACTCAGTTAAATAGCACCTACAGCTTAAATGCTTGAGTGCATGCACGGACACAGACATGGATACATTATACATACAATAAATTTGAAACGCAAAGTAAGCAAGCAAGTTCTGAGTACAGCATTTAATGAGCCCCACACACTCATTTGGAAAATATTTCATCTTCACGAGTGATAAATTTAGAGATCCGTTAGTAACATTTATGTATTTATTGACAGTCTCTGACTAATTGACCAGTCATACTATTTGACAGTCAGAAGTAGTGGGTTTCTAACGAGTCACTCACCAAAAGGCATACTGAAGTATATTTTTTCTTCAAAAACGTTATGAAATAGTTTAGTATGTTTTGAACACATTTTCCTATAAATTATTGATGCAGGTACATTCTAATAGCATAGTAAATGATAGGCAAGTTATATAGTTAACTTTGAGAAGTTTTTTTAATAACAAAAAAAAAATTAAATTAAACCAAAATAGAGGCAGAAAATACAATATCAATAAAATATGCAGGAATTTTGAATTCCATATTCATCAGACTAATCACAGATCATTAGGGTTCTATAGTATCGTGCTCTAGCCTAACATTCTATAACAACAGAATCTGAAAAAATGCAAAAATTGTTTCTTAGTTAGACCTTTCCAATTTCGTCATGTAAAATCGCAAAAGAACTAATACAGTTTTGCTTCTAGTCAATTCTACCAAATTTATTTTAAAAAAAATTTGTTTTATGTTCGCATAAAAATAACTATTTGTAAATACAAGTATTGTACGTATTAGTAGAAATCTGCAAATATTCAAAATCAAATTAATTAAAGTCGTTGATAAAAACCGAGCCCACCGCCACTCGCAATGAAAATATTTCCAACTATAAAAACTTTTCACCCACAATTATTTAAAGTAAATTTTAAATAACCTACGTAAAATATGACATCCATAGAGTTTCCTTTACGAGCTGCATCCGCATCCGAGCGACAAAATTGAGTTCATTGGAAAGTTTTGTTTGTACAGTAAAATTGCACAATACAGTGCGTAACTTTTGGATGCAAATAAAAATTTAATGCATATTCAAAAATGTACACATATTTTCATTCGAAGCCACGCGCAGCTGGAAATTAATTTAATTTAAATTAATGATTTGTTGATTTTTACATACATACCTATAAGCACAAGCTTGTGTAAGAGTTTTTTTTTTCTCTGTCTCATTTCTTTTTTCAAACACATTTTGAGTAATTTTTAGAAATATACTCATAATTACATTGTTTCCAATTTTTGAGTTAAATTCAGAATTGTGTTCATAAAAGTGCTCATTTTTTGAAAATATGCTCGTAAGTACTTACATACTTATTCGTATTTTCACATATTCTTTTAACATAAATAAATATATGTACATCTGTAATGCTACTCATCATACTCACTTTTACAGTAATACTCGTATTGGTACTCAAATGCATGTTTACTCTCATTTAATACTCGTATTCATACTTCAATTGCTATTTATTTGTATACATAATACAATATAATATATATATGGCATTTTCAATAATTCTTATAGTCACATGAATAGGAATCAAGCTCATACGCATACTCATATTCATACTCTAAATCATATATTTAACTAAAATTGTAATAGTTTTATTATAATTAATTACATTAATATTTTATTTTCATTCAATTTCATTTTCAGCCTCATATTCAAACTCGTAGTTAAAACCATAATATTCATGATATTGATTAACACTCATACAATTTTTTATTTATTTATATACGAAGTTAGCTGATGAGTAGCTAATATGTTTTTAGACACGTGGTTTTCAAGAAGAAATAAAGCGCTTATAAATAATGTTATGGCCAAAAAATTCAGCTTTATTATAAAAATAAGGGTTTGCTATTACGTTTTAAAAATTATTTCGAACAAGTGACCGCCGCGGCTGGCTCGTATAAATTCCAACCACTTTTTTGCAGCAATAACGCGTCGAATATTCTCTTCCCCAAAAGTTTCCTTCAACAAACTGATTGTTCTGTTGGCTGTCTGGCATATAGCACCATCGTGTTGGAACCAGAGGTCGTCCACAACAACATCCTCTGTTTTAGACACGAAAAAGTCATTGACCCTGTCTCTGTGACGTTCCCCATTGACTGTAACATTATTGCCGACTTTATTTTTTGAAGAAATATGTACCAATGATTCCTTCCGCCCATAGATTTTTGAGGATTTAACGGCTTCTCAGCAATGGCTTGTGAATTACTCTCACTCCAAATGGAATTTTTTTTTTTTTACTAACTATTCAACGAACAGTGAGCTTCATCGCTGAACAAAATTTTGTTGTGAAAATCGGGATTGTTTGGCCATTTCGTTTTGGGCCCATTCACACAACGCTCTTTATGGGCATGCGGCTTAAATCCTTGCACGATTTGGATTAAGCCCTCAAACCAAGACTCTTTCGCAAAATCTTCTATGAAGGCAGATGGACTCAGGCGTCTCTGAGGATGTGCATTATCTACAAGAGTAAACGTGGTACGAAACCAATCCACCGATTAGGTCGACCTAATATTGAACGCAAGCGCAATTGGTCAGGCGAACCGAACCAAAATTTTGGTTATTAATTTACACGATTTTCAAACGTTGTTCCGGAGTAACTCTCTTCATTATGAAATTGTAAACCAGCCTGAGTATTAATGTAAAGCCCCATGGAAAGCCATCGATAAACAAAAACCACCCGTTATACTTGTATTATGGCCGGGACTCATTTTCGACACTCAAATATATTCTGTTAGCGTTATAATTACTAATATTCTAATCAGAAAAACTATAGTGAGAACAAAACAGTACATCAGTTCACTATTCCCTCATAAAACGTATGAAATGATATATAAAGATCTGTTATATGAGTAAAGTTATTCCTCACAAACGGTTTTGGACAATTTGTGCTGCATTTCGTAGTCGTTGGTGAAAAATTTACTCAGAGCATACCAGATGCCAAATGACAATCATAAAAGAAACCGTTTTCACTCATACCAGTAATAGTAGTGGAATAAATCTTCAAAATTTACTCAAGTGGCTTTTTAGTAAGAAATTTTTTTGGTGCACTTTAGAAAAGCTTATAGTCGCAAAGAACGATAACCGGTTCTCATCAAGCAATACCAAAATATCGAGCGTAATTTTCTTTTCTCCTACCTTTTGCTATTAGGGGGCTTTCAAGCGCATAGCAACAGTGTTTCGAGTTTAAGGGAAACTAGGATCAATGTTTGCATTGATGCAATTTATTTAAAAAAAAAATTATTATTTGCAAATTTCCTCGAAAAAATATAAGAATGTACATATATTAACTAATCAAGCACGTCTAACCAAGCTAACTAACTTGATGCAGAAATCCGAGTTTTTGTTGGTTTCTGCAGTCAAAACACACTCAACGCCGGTGTTGTCACTCACAAATGCTTCTCGCTCAAACAATTCACTCACAAAGTGATGAAACCGCAGGGATTTTATTTTCCACACAAAACCGAAAAAACAATGCGCGCTCGTATTTACTTTGCACTTTTGCTTTTGCTATTGCTTTTGATTTCAATTTTTATTTCCGTTTTTTCGTATTTTTATTCTTTTGCTTCGCAGAGTCAAACAAATGCTTCGTGTTAACCAATGGCTTCGTCGATTCTACGGACGCCGTGGCGTTGCTTTTGCCAAGCATCAAAACGAGTACTCAGTTCTAATTGAGTTGCGCTAGCGAATGAATGTTATTGAATGTTAAACGCTTGTTCGCGTCGATTGCTGATACGAACGCGCGCGCACACAAGATCAACCGACGCACTCTAACGGCAACGCGTGCCATTTCCGTAAAGTCCAAAGGCGAGCTTCAATTCAGTATAGTTTTACTGACACCGGCGCCGCGATCTTTACCAACAATTGTTGTTATTTATTAACTCGAAACTTTTCTTCGTGGCCGTCTACCGTTGCCACCTATGCCGTCGTAGTTGTTGTCATCGTCGAATTTGTAGTGACAGACGTCGAAGCGTAAATTTAGCGATAATTACATTTCAATTTGTGATTTTATTAAAAAAAATTTGCATAATGATCTCTTATATAAAGAAATGAATATTGTACTTACAAACATACGCATAACAGTGTGCTTGCGTAAATAAGTACAGCAGCAACAACAACAGCGCAAGTGGTCTGAAAACAATACGTAGATGCAGACATACATATGTACGTGTTGTCGGAAGTATTTAATTGTGCAAATAATATATTCTACATACAGTGTTGGAAAAAATAATAGGGTCAACACCTTTATTCCCATATTTTATAGCACAGATTTGCATATATTCGTCCCATAGTATTGAAGTTGACTGTAAAATATTGCTATCAAACATTACTTTAATTAAACACCCGTTATGCTGTATTAGCCTCTGCATTGCGACAAAAAATTATGGTTTTACACGTCCTACGTATAAGCTGGAAAAAGTAATATAAACAAATTTTGTTACTTATTAGTTTGCACAGAAAAATAGTAAAGATCGAAACGAAATTTTCGAAAATCAAAAAGCCTAACAAGTAAGTATGTTTGTATAAAATGAGGCGCGGCAGCACACATTGTACGGAAAGTGAAAAGAAAACCATTATTAAATTAAGAAATTCGGGTAAAACTATTCGTGAATCAGCGGACATAATTGAATGCTCCAAGAATATGATCTGTAATGCCTTTAAAACAAGCGTAAAAAGTGAAAAAAATGGACGGAAACGCAAAACAACGGCACAGTTCGACCATTTGCTAGTAATGTAATCAAAAAAGGATCAATTTTTATAGTCTGAAAATATTAAAAAATTACTAAATGCATCAGTAACCAGTCGCACAGTTACATATCGACTTCGAGAAGCTGGTCTAACTAGAAGAAGTGCTAGAAAAGTTCCGTTTTTAAGCAAACAAAATGTAACAAAGAAAATTGAACTTGCTCAGAGACACATGATTCGTGGAAATTGAAATAAGGTCTTGTGGTCGGATGAAATGGCAGTTAATTTATTTGGAACCGATTACAGAACCTTAGTCCTTAGACCTCAAAATGCTGACTTTGACACCAGATAAAGACGAAAAACAATTAAACAGGGGGCGGATCAATAATGTTATGGGGATGCTCTTCGACGGCTGGAGTTGGTATGATTTATTGGATACAAGACAATATGTATTTAACAGACTTTCTCATCATCCTTAGTACTGTAATGTTGCCCTATGCGGAGAAGCGCATGCCACTAAATTGGGAGTTCATGCATGACAACATGCTTTGAAACTGGTAAAATCTTGATTTTAGCGCATCAAAGTTAACATTATGAAATGGTCCCCTCAGTCGCCACATCTCTTAAGAAATCAGTCAGTGAACAAAAATTGAAAAATAAGCACGAATTATGGGGAAAAGTTCAAGAAGCATACTATTCAATACCGGTCACGACTCCAAGCCGCGTAGATGTCTGTAGGTGGTTAAAATGAAATAAGCATAAACAAAATATTATATTTGAATGGAAGAAAAGTAATAATTTAATAAAATAACGCCAGAAAAAAATTAATTAATGTTTGTTCCTAATAATTTAAACACAAATAAATCTTAAATAAGTACTTAAATGTTAATTAATTATCTCAGTGAACAATATTACTTAAATTATTTTATTGTATATCGTTTAATTTAAACATATAATTGAAAATATTAAACATATCCCTTTGTCTCTATTATTTTTCCCAACACTGTATATACATATGTATATGTATGTCTCAAACTGTACATATGTCCACAATCCATATAAGAAAGTGGCAAGTGTTAATACCCGAGTATAGAAAATTTCAATATTTATCAGTGCTTCAAATTAATATATTATATTATATATTTTTATATGTTTTTATACATATGTATATATATAATAACGCCAAACGTTAATTGCTTAATTGCTGGCCTTTAAGTGTCAAATCAGTGTAACTAATTATGCATGAATAATAAAATTATAAATAGAATATAAAATATAAAAAACAAAATAACAAAACAAAAAGACCGCGGCGACGGGAAAAGCATTTTAAATGAACAAAATTGATAGTAAAAAAATAGTAATAATATAGTAATATTCAAAATACAAGTGGAAAATTACAATTAAATAATAATAAAATGAAAAAAAGCGGTGAAAAAGTAACAACAAAATATTAACGGACGTTATTTTAATATGAATATACTCAACTTTCGCACATTATTTCGAAATAATTTATAAAAAAATTTACATAACGTAAATTTAATGTAATGGAAAAACATATTTTAAGTTCACAAACTTTTTTACACACAAGCAAAAAACAAAAAAAAAAACATTGTATATATTTTATTTATAAAAAAATGTATATGTAAACTAAAACACAACAACAAAACAATAACACAGTGTGCTTAGAAGCAAATATAAATTTAAGATATAAAATAATTAAAAAGATTGTCGTCTGTAAACAAAATCAAAATGATTATTATTAAAAATGCGTACTTTCATAATAAAAAAGTTTTATCCGTCCAGTTTCTTCATATTTTGTTATAAATAATTAGTCAAATTTAAACGTTTCTGAATACCAGATATTTTTTTGAATGAATTTCTTTAATTGCTTAATATACTTTTTGGTTCTAAATTAGGTAACAGTCAGTGTTTATACAAAAAAAAAAATACCTACATATATGAATACCCCAAAGGAAATATTAAATTTACATTTAATTAAAATGTATATACTTGTTAACAAATAAAATTTAAACAAATAAAATAAGTATAAAACTAAAAATAAAAATGTATTCAAAATTCTATATATGCAAAAATTTTTTTTCCAATTTTTTATTTTAATTGTTTTTCAAGAAATATTTTTTCATATTAAATTAATATTAATGGCATTTCAATCTTTTTTTTTCTTCAAATTTAATTAAATATTTTGAACTTCTCCTGTGTTTTTCCCCATTTAAAGACAGTGCAACACATAATTTAATTTACGGAAAAAATGTAAAACACAAATGCTATAAAATACTTGCGCTCTGATACTCAGTGTTTTTTGAAACAAATCAATATTATAATATATAAACAGTGCGCCCAAATTACAAACTAAAAAAGAATTTTAAAACAGTGTTTTCACATTCTTTAATCAAATGTTTATGAAAATCGTGCATTTCAAACTATTAAAATCCAAAGTGCAGCGCAAAAATTAAAGTTGTTTAAGATATACATTTACGTGTATAAATATATCTGAAGTGGTGCGAATATAAAGAAAGCGTGTGCGATTAAAAAACGCAAAAAATTAATGACCGTGTTTTGAATTAAACAGTGATTTCTAATGCACAATAATTTGCAAGATTTTGCCATTGCGAAATTAATAAGAACACATTCACACTTATAAATATGCAATAAAATATGTAATAGGGTGGCTCAAAAAAAATCGAATATTTTTCTTTTCGCTTGGTACTCTAAAATAGATTTAAAACAAAATAGGTTCTTAGGCGGGAAAGTCCCTCAGCGGAAGACCTTGCTACCTTACCTTACAATTAAAAGCTCATACTTGGAGAAATTTTCTTAAAGGTGTTAAAAAACGTTTTTTTCAGAGTAATCAATCGAAAAAAAAGGTTATTAAACCACCTCAATATGTACATTTGTATATTTAAATGGCGATTGTAACTGTTTACACATACATACTTCATGTACATACATACAGGTTTATCCAACACCATATTTGAAGCTTAACATTTTATTTCAATAACTCAAGCAATAAGCCTTAAAATTACTTTTTTAATCGCTTATTAAACAAGTAAGGGGGTAATAAGCTTGTGCTTGAAATATTTTAAAATTCGTTAATAAATTAAGAATACATATTTATAATTATAATTAGTATTTTTTATTTAACACTCCGGGTTAAAGTTCGAATAAAAGTGAAAAAATATTTCATTCCTTGCTTTGCATTCTCGACACAATCCTCTAATAACCAATTTTTCACCAACTAGAAGTATTAAATACATATATCTCATTACTGCCTTAAACTTGCGATACCTGAGTTTAATCTGAAAAAAAAAATTTTACATTTGATTAAAGCAAAGTATATTAGCAGCTTCAAAAATGAATTTCACAAATCCAAATATTTCATTTCCCTAAAAGGGAGAACCAAATCATAATATTTTTTTTGTCTCTTTTGGGAAAAATAGTAAAACAGATTTTTGGCTGAGAAATATTCAAGCTCAAGTTAGAAGTTCGATTAAAAAATTTGGTATTTTTGCACAGTTTCTTGAATTGAGACCAAATTAGAATTTCGACATAAAAAAATTGTATATTTTTTCCCAAATCTTTGGACTAGTTTTCGCGCCTATGGCCAGTTTTATATCAATGCACTCGATCCATAAAACTTAAAGTCTCATCACTCGAATACAGAAATGCTTTTCACCATCCACAAAAGCCTTCTCTTCCTTGCTTTTCCTACAACGTTGTTCCTACTTTTATAACAATATAAAATATTCCAGTTTCGAGAGTTGTTGCTGAGGTAATGTAAAAATATTTAAATGGTTCCCTTGACTATTGGGACAACAATGTCGCTTTCAGCATTTTAATCTGGCAAATACAGTATTTTACCTATATAAAATGGTAAAAATGGCAAGTCCATTTCTTTAATACTTCTTACTGTAAAGACTTGGGTCTAAAAGTCTTGGGCGCTATAGGGTTAACTTTATTACTCTACTATTAATAGTGATTCATTCATCTTAACTAATATTGTTTTGAAAAACTCGTTCGAAACATATCCGTTTAACAAGCTTTGACCCAGGGTTGTGAATTTTTTTATTCAAAAATTAAAAAAAAATAAAAATTTTATATTTTAATTCCGATGTTGTGATTGAAATTTAGACTTTCAGTATTTTGAATTAGAAATTCGCAACGCTGAGTTCAAGCTTGATTCTCATCCCCATTGCCCAATCCATGTTGGGTTTAAAGATTAAAAATCTAATCACAACATCAGCAATAAAAATTGATGTTTGGATTAAGAATTGAAAACTTTATTTTTGGATTTGGACATGTTTGCCGACCAATGCTCTAGAGTATTGAAAATGGTGGCTTTTTTGTAACAGTTTGAACACTTCCACGTTGAGCTCGAAACAACAACTCGCAATGCTGAACCATTTGACATGTGGAAGCTCACTTGCTATAATATTTTTTTTTTACATATAATATAATAC